GGTTTGAACCGTCAGCCTTCTGGTTAGCAGAGCTCCTCTAGGAACCCTAATTTACAGCATAAATAGACTATCAAACATAACCCACATGCATGAACAGGAGGTAGAAAAGAAACTAGATGACTGGGACCTTTTAAAAACCCAGTAGGTGTCGCTCTGAGTCAGAATTGACTCAATGGCAGTGGGGTTGCTCCTTAGTTTGTGCAACAGAATTTTTCAAATCTCTATGTTTTGTTTTCATTTTGCATAGTTCACTTTTAAGTCCATCCCTTTCTGTTCACATTTTATTATAAGCAGCAAGGAGAAACCAAGTGGCCCCTTTAAGATCTTGTTTAGAAATATCCTCAGGCAGATACCAAGTTCATCACTTACAAGTTCTACTTGCCACCAAACATTTGAATAATTCAGTTAAGTTCTTTGCCACTGCATAAAAAGCATTGCCCTTCCTCCAGGTTCACCATTTTCTTTTAAAGCCTCACCAGAAGCATATTTAATGTCCATATTTCTAGCAACATTCTGTTACTGGTGCCATATGTATTCTCTAAGACAACAGAGACTTTATCAGTAGCTCTCCTCACTTCCTTCTGAGCCCTCACCTGAATTGCCCTTGATGTCTCTTCAAGGCAGTGTAGCTTTTACTATTGTTGTTGTTATTTGCCGTCGAGTCGGACCCGACTCATAGCGACCCCTCCTTGGGTTTCCGAGGCAGTATCCTACGGAAGTAGATTGCCCCATCTTCCTTGCGAGGAGTGGCTGGTGGGTTTGAACCGCCAGCCTTCTGGTTAGCAGTCAAGTGCCTTAGGCACTATGCTACCAGAGCTCCTAGCTTTTACTATTAGACATCTTAAAATTTGCCCAGCCTCCAGCCATTACCCCATTCCAAAATCACTTCCACATTGTGGGTATTTGTTCCCCACACTCATACCCTACTCCTGGTACCAAGTTCTGTCTGAGTTATCTAGTGCTGCTGGATCAGAAATCCCCCCCCAAGTGGGTGGTGTTAACAAACAGAAATTTATTTTCTCACAGTTTAGGAGGCTAGATGTCTAAATTCAGGGCCCTGACTCTGGGGGAAGGTTCTCTCTCTCTCTGGACTCTGAAGGAAAGCCTTCTCTCTTTCAGCTTCTGCTCCTGGGCTATTTTCATGTGGCTTAGTGTCTCTTTTCCTCCATCTCTGCTTTGACTGACTTTGTTTGATCTTTTTTTATATATCAGAAGATACTGACTTAAAAGACACCCTACATTAATTCTGTCTCATTAACATAACAAAGATAACTCCTTGCCAAATGAGATTATAACCACAGGCATAGAAGTTAGGATTTATAACACCTATGGGGGGTGGGGGTGGTAGTCAATCCATAACACCTTCAAATAATTCTAAGTATGTTAGTAACAACATATTTTTAGTATGTTTAGATTCATATGTTGAGGAATATCGTAAAAAGCAACTAGAAATAAAATATGGAACACATCCTGATAATAGACTAGTAAAAGCAGTCACACAAGATAACATGATTGTAATCTAATATAATTAATCCATTGTATCAGTCATCAATACAAGATGATTGACATGTTCTTTTTTTACCACTTAATTTGTTATAGTGCAATGTTATATGTAGCTAAAATTATAAATCATTTGTCAAGGGGGGAGTATAATAAAAGGTAGCGCATTCCTTTGGTAAACATGTTTGCATGCATAAATTGAACTCTATAATCAACTTTGGGGAATAATTAAGAAGCAGAATAAAAAGTAGGAATATCTTTATTAATTTGCTAGATATTATAATCAAACTCTTCTATGTATTAATATATTTAATGAAAGGAAAATACTAAAAACTAGAGATTGAATAGTCCATCTCACTACCAATCTGCAATGCAACCTCTCTTGTATTAAAAAAAAAAAAAAAAAAACCTCACTGCTGTGGAGTTGGATCCAACTCATAGCGACCCCTCCTTGGGTTTCCAAGGCAGGATCACTATGGAAGTAGATTGCCCA